AGGAACCTTGTTTTGTTCTGTTCCGCCATGATTCGAGAACTTTTGTGTATTTCATGTCTCTCTCCAAAATACTGTATGAATAAATAGGTCAAGTTGCCAAGTACCTTTGTTCTTAGTGTAGCATGAGGTTTTTTTCAGAGACTAAAACTGATGTGGAAGGTAAAGGAATCGGTTCTTGTACAGGTTTCAATCAGGTATTTTATGTGATTTGTACTTGAAAATGTGATCAAAATATTTAAAGTATGGGATGGAGTAAAGGAGAAAAATAGCTATCCAGTCTTATCAGTTTGAACACTTGATGAAATTATGAATTCAGATATTACTCTGCTCCTTTTTCTTGTAATACATAATTTGAAAAAAGATCATTGTCTGCACACTGACCGTTTGGTGATATAACAGTGATTTCTTCATAATTGTTCCTCACATTAACAAAAAGAAGGGATTTAATGCATGAATAGTCACAATGCATTTGTTGCGGGACTCTCTACTAAAACCGTTATCTTTATTTTTGCGCAAGATAACAAGAAGAGATTAATCTCTTCCTGACATGCTGAGAAGCATCTTCAAAAACGCTCATACTAAAAACAGCTGAAATACAGTACCTCTTTTTTTATATAAGTAATTCTTTCTGTTGCTGGACATAAGATGCTATACAACTGTGAATAGAAAAATGTGGAGGACCTTCGTTCTTCAGCAACCTCTAACAATAGAAGAAGTATGAGAACACCTGAAAAAGATCCACTAAGGCACCCAACAAATTTTCCTCATTTTATCTGCTTTATTCTTTCATGAAGCACATGTTCATGAATATATACATTTTTGCATATGTAGAAGCTCAAGTCTACCTGCTTTCAGAAAAATGAAAGAATAAGGAAATTACATTTTATAACTCATTAGAACTTTTTTTTGTTGTTGTTGAATTTCCAATTTAATTGAAGTTGCATTCCTGGCACAAAACATTTGGAAGATTTGGAAGATTTGCAAGATTTGGAAAGGGATGACTGTTATCCCCATCTCCTTCCATCTAAAGGTTTTGTCCCATTCTAAATGCCAGCATTTCTTTTTGGTAACACTGCAGCTTTCTGGCCATTCTCTACTGTCTGCCTGCCCAGCCTGTCTGTCTAACGTAGTGGAGCAGAAGCAGCTGATCTCCTAAGGGAACTCCAGCAATATCAACAGGCTTGACTGACGTAACACAAGTCTCTCTCCTTCACCTTCACTGAACTCTTAGAGGAAACTCAGGGCGTTAGTATAGAGAGACAGGATTTTAGCCATTGATTTCCATAGGAACAGATTTTGAACACTAGCTACTGCTGCCTTCTTCTAGAGCAACCCGGAGTGTCTTGGCAGATGCTGTTTAGAAGCACTATCAATTTGATCCTGCTTCCTTCTCAGGACTGAAAGCCAAGTTCAGGCCTACTTGTCTTATTAACTCAAGCAGACTTTGGATGGGAACTACAGCAGGCATTTAATTTTTTTTCCTGTGAAAAATAGATTAATGAGCATTTTTCAGGTTAAGTTTGTTATTTTTTCTAAATATTTGTGTTTGTTGCCATCAGGTAGAAGTCAAGGGAAGAGCAATATCTTCTATTTCGAAGAGTTTATCAGAATGGAATAGCTTGAAGTTTGTCTTGAGCAAATCAATTCTCACTTTTCTGAGAGGAAAATACCAACAGCAGATTTACCAGATGTACTTCAATTCTGAATATGAACATCTACAGATATCCAAATCATGTTTTTTATTAAGTCAGCAGTAGAATGCCTGAGAAAAGAGGCTAGGACATTGGCATTTATTTTCAGTCTGTAAATTCATACAGAAGGAAAAGAGAATAGTAAAAATTCTAAAAGTTCCTAAATTCAGAGGAATCTGTCCGGAAAGGAAGAACGCAAAAGCAGACACAGTTTAAAAGATTCCTGCTTTTTTCCTTCTTGTTCCCTCTTAAGTATTTGGGATAAAATATCCCCTTTCTCTTGCAATTATTTGATATTATTCACATAGTGTTCATATTGCTTGAATGGTTCCTAAGTATTTTATTTTTGAATTGATAGCTATAATATCTGATTGTGATTTTTTCCTTCCTTGTCTGAAGTAAAACTTATTATCTTTAAAGTACTACTGACATTTCATGAAACCATTCAAAAAGAATTCCACTTACTTAGAAATAATTTTGCTGATAAGGTGGGAGAGGATACGTTCTTTCCAGTACCTTATGTAGTTATGAATTGTTTAGTAGGATTGATTACATTCATGTCAAGTATTCATGTGCCTCTGATCTTGCAAAGCCTAGAGAACTTTCCTTTCAAAGGATTTCAAGAGGGGTGAAGTACACCAGAAATTGGAGACCTTTTGTGTACTTGGATCAGAGATGCATGTTTGAACTCCTAAGATTCTGTCACTCTCGATGGTGTGTCCTGAAAGAATAAAGGTTATTAGTATGTTTTCTCTGCATTTTGAGAACTCCTTACAGTTTATTGTAGAGGAATCTGCCTGTGAAGGGGATAGTCTCTTGTCATTTTCCATCACCTGCTGCATACCTCCTGAGAAATCAGTACAAATCATTTCCCCTTTTTATCTAGATGGAGAGCAAAGCTGTTTCACTGGTCTCTTCAGTGGTGTGTAACAGTTCCTTCTCCATCCACTTTAGGAAGACCCAAGCCTAAAAGAGGCTTTCAGATGGCAATGCTAAATACTGGGATATCCAGAAATTGCAACAGCTTCCCATTTGTGGTTAGCTAATATACAGAAAGGATATGTAGCAAACCATATAATTTACTAGTTTGCTGTACCACATCATAGTATAATGGCTAATAGCACATGTGTGTGTTAGCAGATGATCATGGCATGTGGGAATATGCAACATCCAGATTGAGTTTTGCCTGCTTCTCCTAATGCTATTATATGTTTCTTGAGAGTTGCTCAGTTCAAAACCAAAAGCTTTTGTAGCTTTAGATGTGACATTTATTAGGTCTTTCTCTAATGCTATCTTAGCACCTGCTCCTCCCTCACAGTCATATCAAAGTGAATTTTAAGTAACTGCTTTGAAATCATGCAGCATCGCACAGAGGAGCAAAACTAGTGAAAATGCAGGGTAATCAGCACTATAAAATCTCTCTGTCTGCAGAGAGAATCTCCACAGCCACCTGGATGCTTTTAAACCCTCATTATTTTAAATTTTAAGTGGTTGGCTGTGCCTTGCTTCTACCAAAATCAGATACAATAATCCAAGTCGGAGGCGGGGAAAGATGCCAGGGGCCACACAGCGTAGCTTTCTGCCAATGATAGGTTCTTCCCTGGAGTTCACTTTCTAGTGACCTTGGAAATTACTTGCCCGGTAAAACAGTAATGAAAAACAAAGCTGTTAAAGCTTCAGGAGTGGCCAAAAGGATGCCATTCCAGTGAGAAATTGTGCTTTTGATATGAGATTCTCCATGTGCCTACATCCTTGGTTACAGTTTTCAAGTGATCACAGTTTTAATTTATAATTTCTAACCTACTTTCAGTTGTAAGTAAGAGGTTGATGGAGGCGCACTGGTTTTAATAATTTATGAATTTACCTAATCCTTTAACCAAATCATTGTTTTTATTCCAAATAAGCAACTCAAATTAACCCCTTACTGCATGCTTTCTTTCACAACTCTTTTATTCACGGAATCACAGAATCACAGAATGGTTGAAGTTGGAAGGGACCTCTAGAGATCATCTAGTCCAGCCCCCCTGCACACGCAGGGTCACCTAGAGCACGTGGCACAGGGCTGCATCCAAGCGGGTTTTGAAGATCTCCAGAGAAGGAGACTCCACAACCTCTCTGGGCAGCCTGTTCCAGGGCTCTGTCACCCTCACAGGAAAGACATTCTTCCTCACATGGAGATGGAGCTTCCTGTGTTTCAATTTCCATCATTAGCTTCTGGAACACGCTGATGGGGATATTATGTCCATGTGAAGAACCATTTCCCCATAGTTCTTTCAGCATGTTTATGCTCCTGGAAACAGGAAACCGCAGAAAAGCTAGGTTTCTTCTCTTTCAAAACTCCCAAGGCTTCTGAAAAGATTCTGATATGAAAAATCATTCTTGGATTTCTTTGAATTGTACCATCCGTGATTCACCTCTCAGCTGATCTAGGCAGTAAAGGATAAGCCTGGCATATACTTAACAAAACAACTAGAATTTGGCCCCAGTTTTAGGAAAGAAGTGGCCAATGCCTGCTCCCACCAGCAAGCTCAGTATGGGTTGGGCTGAAAGATATTTTAGGAGGCTTTTAAAAGCTGGGTGGATGGCAAAAGATGCCAAGTTCCCTTCCTGTTGTACCCATTTGATGTGTGTTGATTTCTTCACAAGCAGCTCAAGATTGAGCTCCCTGTTTGGGTCTAGGGCTCTGCGGATCTGTGCTGTTTGACGTGGCGCCGGCCTCCACCACTCACAGACTTCAGTTTGGAGAGGAAAGGAGTTTTCTTGGCTGCCAACTCTCTTTTAAAAGAGATGTTAAGAGGAAAAGAAAGCTAATTGGACTGTGCTTGGCAAAAGACTTTATTATATTCCATTTACCCAGATTTTAAAGGATGGAGTGCTGAGGAACACGAAAATAGTGAAAGCACTTATTCCCTAAACAGATTCTTGCAAAGTTTTTACAATAAAAACAGAAAGCTGCTTTAGTAAAGCAGTGTTTATCTTGCACTAATGCTGGTCATGAATATGTGTCTAACTTAGCTGGAACTAATGCCTGACTCCACTATTCCACTATAGCAACTTAACATTCTGCGTAGGCTGATTATTTTTTCAACAATATTTGCTAGATTCTTTTAAGGGCTGCCAGTATATATTTTTTGAAGCTTAGTTAGTAAGAACAGCTGCCAGTGGAGTCAAGGCTAAAAAAGGCAAAAAATATCTGCAGAAGGCAAGATTTTACTTCAAAAGATCTCTATTACAAAGCACTACTGTTGCTGGTATAATCACTTTCTTTGGGGGGGATGCTAATATAGACTGGGTTTCTTGTCTTCACAGCCCCCACTGAGCCTTTGCTGTGCAAATTTGCTGACGGAGGGCAAAAGAAGCGTCAGAATCAAAGCAAATACACACAGAATGGAAGGCCGTGGCCCAGAGAAGGAGAGGTAAGTGCCACGCGGTGATTATTTCCCCAAGGCTTGGGAGAAGTGAGCTGCAGACCTGGAGGTCTACCTTGTCGGGCTGTGAAGGTAGCACACAAAATACAAGGGCCTCAAGGCTGTGAAGGAATCAGGTAGCACACAAAATACAAGGGCCTCACACAGAAAAAGTGAGGGATAGTGTGTAAGAGGGGCCAAAGAGAGCGTTGTAATTATGTGTATGGGGTAAAGTCACAGGAAAGGGAATTTCAGAGCTGGGTGTGGAACTCAGCCCTGACACTTGGTGAACTTGCTGTCTGCAGCCAGACTTGAACCCAGTGAAACTTAGACTTAAACCTTGAAATGAACAATCTATTTACGTCTTAGCAATGCAACAACATTTTATTTTCCATATATTTCCTGGGGCTAGAACAGCATCAGGGAATGTGGGGGCTGTTACCGAGTGGAAAGATGTAGTTGCCCATCTAGATTTATTGTCTACGTAAAGGGCTCCAAAAGCTTATCTATCTGAGTTGGGATAGTTGGGATCTTCATTTTGTCCAGTCAAAACAGTTTAGAGTAGACTCGCTTCCATCATGTGTATAAAGTAAAAAAAAAAAAAAAAAAAAAAAAACACAAAGTTGCTTTCTGCTTAGCTATAAATAGTCTATTACTGGAGTTTCCTTTCCATGCACTTGTACATAAAATGACTCCAAATGTGGGTGAAATAAGAAAAGAATTTCTTTGACTCTTCAAGAGTTTGTTTGTTTTTGTTGAATGTTATTATGAGATAAAGACACTTGAATAAATGAGGTAAATCTGGTTAGAGTACCTTCTGGTACATTATTATAGTTATGAAGGCAGAAGGACTGACAGGTGTTTCCACCCTAAAAAAAAACATTCCTTGTGTTTATCATTGAGACTTTTTTTAAAAAAAAGCTTTGCTCAGTTGTGACCCACTAGAGTCAATGTTTTGTGTTTCCATTTCCCTTCCCTTCCCTCCTTTTTCCTTCTTCCCTCTTCCCTCTTCCTTCCCTTCCCTTCCCTTCCCTTCCCTTCCCTCTCGCTCTCCCTCTCCCTCTCCCTTTTATTCCTTTTCCTTTTCTTCTTCTTTCTTTTCCCAGAGATTTCTGCTATATTTAATTTTACAAAGCAAAAAAACAAAAGATGTGTTATTTCAAAGTTGGTTGTTTCTAGAGGGTTTTTGCTTTTCCCTAACTACTTGATTTTCTAACGGATACTTTTTGGACCATTAGTTTGTGACATATATACTCCAGCACGATTGGTGAGCTCCTAAAACAAACAGAACAGCCTCTTGAAAATATAAAAATTGCTCCCTTCAGCAAGGTGGTTTATATGCTGTTCCAACAAAAATGCCCCAAAGTATTTTTGGCTCTGTGGACTCAAAGGGCCAGCTTGGCAGCCCCATTTGCTGCAAGAGATTGCAGTAGCCTCAAAAGGTTCATTGCGGTCGTTGACTCAAAAAATGGAGATGTCTGCGTAGGAGCTCTTATGGTTTGTCATGTTAAGGATCTACCAAAGAATGAGCACTCCAAGCAGGAGACTCAGGTCGTAGCATATAAGGCTGTAAAACCAAAGGCATCTGGGAGGTGGTAACAACCCTTCCAAAAGGTCAATAATCCTATTTTAAAAAGCTTTGAAATACCTTTTTAAATAGTAGATGCTACTGCAGACATTATGTCCACTGCGGCATACATACTCAAATCAATGAACAAGCAGACATAAAGCTAAAGCCACCAAGCTGCCGTTACGCCATATGGCCTCAGAGCATGAACTTACGGCACCTTATGTAGTGTATTTGCTGATCTGTCTGCAATGGCTCATAGTAGGGACTGTGATATATGAACTAGAGGCAGAGTATGTTTAGTTTGTTAATAGGGTAGAAATGCAAAAACTACTGTTCAGTGCTGGGAGACACCATTCCTTCTTGTTTGCAGTCAACTATCAAACCGCAAAGCTGTTATCACAGTGTAATCTGCAAACTTGGAAAGGTTGCAAAAATGGGGACTCGCAAATATTTCAAGCTAGGCATATGCTCTGTAGTAATATGGTTTCTCAGATTTTACTGACTTTCAGTTAACATCTTTCTGTGCATTGGGTATAACTTGCTGAAGCACTGGAGACAGTAATTCATGCTTTTACTGTAAGTCACTCATTTTTAGATTTCTTCCGGTTAACATTTTTCTGTGCATTGGGTATTACTTGCTGAAGCACTGGAGACAATAATTCATGCTTTTACTGTAAGTAAGTCACTCATTTTTAGATTTCTTCCACACTGTCACATAATTTTCTTATTTCCCAAGTAAAATCCTCCTGTAGAATTAATCTTATATTTTACATGCAGTCAAGTTTCCCTGCCTCTTTGCCCTTAACTGATCTCGCTCTAAACAAGATGTGTCATTGAGTTCTTCTCATTGCAGCAGCACTCAAGTAACCTTCGACTATTATTCCTCTCAACTTTCTATTCTTAAAAAAAAAAAAAAAAAGACAGTGAATAGTGAGAAATACTTGTTCGGAAGACAAGTGTCACAGGTCTGATTACAGATGAAATCTGAAAATATTCCCCGTATCTCTCCTATTTCTTGAATTCTTCCCCAAAACAGCCTTGAAATAGTATTCAAAATAATAGTGTCGCAGGCCTCCAGCTGGAATGGGCAGAGCAGAAACCAACAGCTGGGCAGAATGCTTGGATGCAGGGGGAAAATGGGAGGAAATTTAGTGGGGAAGAACAGATTGCCACGGTGTAGCCTCTCTGGCCCTTCTGTTCTCCAAGTTTTTCCTCTCTTTTGTGGAGAGCTTCTGTGGAGTTTAGTAAGAGAAGCTTACTTTTTGTGGTAAAGTTTTCAGGCCATACAACAGAATGCAATGGCAGATTTTATTCTTATCGTACATTTTTGCAGATTGCTCCATAACCATACAGAAGTGCCATAGTTGTCTGTTAAATTCAGGCTGGCTGGTCCTCCTGCAGAATACAACCACTGAAATCCTGGCAGCAATGTAGTCTGGCCTGAAATTATCACTTCAGGGTAGAAATAGGCTTTTGCTGAGAGGGAAAAAAATAAATAAATAAAGCAAATTTCTTATCCCATATTGTGTTCTTGCTGTGCTTAGAGAGGCAGCAGAGTGGCCCCAGTGTCTGAATGCAGCATTTCCCGCTGCATGAGCCAGGGAGCACCGTCATCTAGAAATCAGGACTGATAATTTTAGCTATTTCCTAATTCTGCTTTGGACCTTGGGTACAGCCAGTTCTATGCCTTTTAAAGTGAGATCTTTAGGAATATACTGAATTTCTCTAGGGTTTTGCATGGTTTTTTTTTGGTTCTTGTTTACTTGGGGTTTCTATCCAAAGGGCATTTGTAATCACTGAAGAATGCACGACCCCTCGTAGCATTTTCTAATCCTCACGCTCCCACTCTGCTTTGAAGCCTCGGGAAATATTCAGCAGATTGACTGAGGCATTTGACGGAGAATTTATGATGGCTAACAAATTCCAGACTAAGGATCTGAGGGCCTGGATCACTGATGACTTTTTTAAAAGCTGTCAAATTCTGCATCTAGCATACAGGTGCAATAAATGTGCAGACTGATAAATGCAAGCCTGCAAATGTCAGAAATATTTCCTGCAAAATTCTATGTAATCACTGGCACCATTTCTGCACAAATTTATCTGTTTTGATTTCTGATTCACATCACTAAGCAAGAGGGGAATTCAGCACTCTGTTTTGAAATGTTCCCTGACAAGATCATATTGAAGAGATGGCAAGGGAGGTAATCATATTCAAATTCTGTCTGCAAAATATTTGATTTATCTCTAAATTGCAACTGACATTGTAGAGGTGGGTGACATTCTTAAAAAAAAAAAAAAAGTCATTAGCTGAAGATGCAACTGGGGAGTCAAGAATAGTTATAAATTCGGGTCAGATTGGGTTAAGGACTGCAACTTAAATAGTGTAAACTTAAAGTTTTACTGTAAATTCACTGGTTCATTGTTTTGATTGTTCTGAAATAAAAATCTTTTGATATGCCTACCAAAATGTGAATTTATTTGAAATGTATTTGGTAGAAAAGGAAAGATTTCACATAAACTGAAAATAAAAGAAGTACTTTTAAAAATGCAAGTTAGTTTTTATTATTTACTTTCTTCTGGAAAGAACAGTTATGGAAATGGTAGCATTTCTGTATTGCGTCAGCCCAAAGTGATTTAGTATTTATTCATCTCTGAGGTGAACAAGACAGTATTTTTAAGTCTTTTGACATATCATTTGAAAGTTTCTGTAAAATTTATACCATTTAAATGTTTGTGCTGTCTTTCTAGCAAAGGCATATCATCATTAAAGTCACTAGTGAAGACATTCACTGTTAATTGTGACTTCCTAGTCACTGAATTTGGTCTGAGGTCAATTTTTCTGAATTTCTACCAATAATTCTTCTATTGTTTGTTGTCTTGCCTCCCTAATCTGGGTTACTTTTTCTTTTCTCATTTCTCAAGAGATTAACCTCCATTCCCTTCTCTTCCTTGTCTTCCCTCTTTCTCTTTTTTTTTCTTTCAAAATCACTTGGTGGAATGTCTAAAGAGTTAAGCATGTTTTATATTGCTTCCTTAAAAAATACAATGAACTAGTAGCTTGGGAATGTCACTTTGTTAATATTTTTTCTTTTTTTCTGCTACTCATTACAATTATCTCCAATTCAAACGGTAGTTTAGAGGGAAAAACATGTAAAAAAAAAAAAAAAAAGTAAGTTGGGAGATTTCTTGATTTTTGTTTACAGTCAATACCAGGGAAGAGTTGATCCTGCTTTTTGCCCCCTCTTTACAAGTGGCAAGCGTTGAGAGTGCTGGACATATTTGCAGCTGATACATAGATTTCATTTGATGCTTCCAAGGAGATAGGTACTACCTAGTTGTGCTCCATTATCCTCTTTGTCAAGGGCTGATGCATTTTATACCTAGAGAAGTGATTATTCTTTTTTTTGGGAGATAATTTCCAGAGCAGTCCAAATACACA